CTATTTCTTAAAGAACAGGAAAATATGAATATGTATGTAAATTGAGACACTAGTGTCACATTAGAAATAAAAGAGCTTAAGATTTTTCCTATTTGTTTGGTCTACACAGTTGTACACAAAATATTCTTGGGCTTAGAGTAATACAGTTTTCTACTCTATTTATAGGCATTTACTTACTAAAGATACAAAAGAGCTCTAGACCAACTGTGAAATCGCCCTGAACATTCCATGACTATGGAATCATACGCATTTCCATTTCATGTCTCCACCACCTTTGTGCCCCCAGTCAGCACTTGTGACTTTATTTTTTTCACATGGAGGTTAATCTAAACAAAGATATTAGAGACGGCAATGACAAGGCAACCACTCTAGATCCTCTCTCACTCCAGGCAACACATTATGCTCTTTTGTTCTCAAGATATATTACCAAGATGAAATGACCTAAATAGCTTATATAATTAAACCCAACAATTACTTTGCATTGAGAAAGCTGAGTAATTTTATTTTAAATAGTGAATAGGCTTAAAATGACCCTTGGGATTGGAAGGGCTCAAACTGATAAAAGTAATTGAAAGTGACAGCTTGGTTTCCCATAATCTCTTGGGATTATTCAAAAGCTATGCTTAAGTATATATAATAAGGGAAATAATTACAGAGAGAGAGAAAAATTGAGTGTGATTAAAAATATCCTACATTTACTTTTTAATACTCTGCATATATCATTTATCTGTAATAAAACTACAATGTTTATATATTTAATACTTTCAGTTGAGAAGTTTTTAATATATATTTGGACAATAACTAAGACTAAATTGTTTATGTATAAAGTTATATAAAGTATATATATATACATGTATAATATATAGATGATTACATTATAATTTAGTATGTAATTTATATTGTATATAAATGACACTATAATCAAATATACAAATATATGTATATATATTTGACTTTTAAATGGGTAAAGAAAAGCTGTATTAATACAGCACATAACATGCCAGTTCAGTAACCCAGAAGGGCTAAATAGAGAAAGCATTTGAATTTAAGTCAGGAAACTATTTCTGGTTCTAACACAAATGATAATCCTGATCCAATCAACTCAACTCTTTGGGTGTTAATGCTTCCACACTTGAAGGATGTGGAGTTCAAATCTCACTCAGTAAAGCAAGAGATGATGTTATTAGGAGGATATGAATCTTCTAACATTCTATGATTCTAAAACAGACCTATAATTTGAGAAGAAAAGAGAAGAAATTGAGATTCAATAAAGGCCTGTAATGAGTGTTAGAATAAGGAATAATTTTGACTATGTCTACAGCAAATATGTCATGACAGGGAGAGGAGAAGTAGCTCTCACCTAAATGTGACAATTCTAACTTAGAGGGAGGACACTATGAAGGGAATTAAGTTAATTGGGCATTAACAGGGTGCTGTTTCACTTTTCATTAACAGAGTTAATGATAAAAGAAGGATTTTGACTGTGGTTGCTGAGAAAAAAGGGAAAATGGACTTCAAGGGAAAATGCAGCTGTTCTGGACAGGAGGGAACTAATCAGGATGTCTGCTGAATGTTGGTCACTGCGAGCCGTCACTGACAAAATCTAAACAATAGAGAAGTCATATTTACGTCGGGAATTACAAAAGGAACTGACAGAATACAACCTTTGTCTTTGGAGCTCAAAGCCACAGAACTGATTAATTATTGCAATGGAAAGGAACAGTATGACACAGGAATGGGCAGGTGGTCCAGTGTGCTTTACCTTCATCACCTCCATCGGTCTGAACACTGACACTACTAGAGCCACCAGGAAGTGCTGAACCTTAATCTGAACCTGGCTGTCTGACCTCCCCCTATACTGAATTTCCATTTAATCCAACCTATTTTGCAGGACTGAGGTCCACAGAAACAAAATCACACAATCGGCTAGGAGCAGTTTGAACAGTTATTTTGTAATTTGGTCTTAACATTTCATGTTACCTTGTGCCAATTACAACCACCACCTAGATGACAATTTTTGTTAATGAAATCACATGTAGTTTCTGCTTTATATTATTGGCAATGTTTGTAATTCACCAAACTGGGGATGGGATGATACTCTCAATTACCGTTATTCATTCACCTTGGTCCTATGGAATCAAAGAGAACGAGACTAGATTTTTAATTTTTTTGTGACTTACGAAGAGCCACAATAAAAATTAACAGTCTGGGGATGAAATACAGAAACCTTCAAGTTGGAAAGTAAATAAATCATACTTGCTGTTTAAATTAATATCCAAATGGAAAAAATATGTCTCTTTGGTGTTCAGGGTAAGTCAATGACTGGCATGTAGCACAGAGTTTTTCATAAAATATTCAAAAGAAGGGAAAATGCAAAGGAGTAGGATGTTTTGGTTTTTCTTAGAACTGTAATGAATTGAGTTATTAAACTAATCACTGTGTTCAACTACAACTGTATTATTTCACACATATTCCTTTATTTGTCCTCACCTCCATATAAAAGAAATAAAGGATGGGAAAAAAAATGTTTGTGTACACACGAGCTTGGGGGAAGTGGTTGTGAGGAGGTAAATGAATGAGCCACAGGAAAAATGACTATTTAAAGGCTACATCTAGCCAGACATTATAATCCATCATGGAAACCTAACGGGCATGTAAATGTGTGAGTTAGAAAACATATTCAAGGCTGTTGATAAACTTGATAGGATAATCAGAACATGCTGATAGACTAATGAAACTGATGAACTGTAAGGGCAGCTTACCTCGTGGTTCATTTCTTTTCTTGTCAAATGGAAGCTAATCAAAATGAACTGGGAGTTTAACTCAGAGGATTCCACCCATTTGATTGCGAGGTGAACTCACTCTCTGAGAAAATTATAGTTTTGTGAACAATTGAAACTACAACATCTGGTCAGCTGACAGACCTTCACATAAAATTAAAAGGGAAGGCAGCCACCGAATTATGGAAGAAATACATTGGGATTCTCCCCTCACAAATTGTTACAGAGTGCTTTTCAGAGTCTGCCCAAAGTGACAAGCCCCTTCTGTAATGGAAAATATGGCAGAGGACTACGCGATAACCCTAGGGGCACACTTATCTTTCACTGCGTATGTGTGTCAGCATCTGTGTACCCACATGAGGGACAGATCCCAAGGCTGAATTTTTCAATCAAATTTATTTACATAAAATAATTGAATGAATTTCTGAAATCACTTACTATATAGTGAATACCATACTTTCTATAATGATAAAGATACCATATGCAGTCTATTGCCAAGGATCCGTCACTAATTTAAAGAAAGGCATCTTATTTTATAATTGAGGAAAATTGGGAATAAGGACTTCCTAAGCACTAGCAGTCAGAATAAAATCATAAAATAAGGCCATTGTGTCTCCTTAAACAAAGCTAGAGAAAACAATCGTTTTAATATTCGTTTTGACATAACCATCCAGCACTAATACAGAAATGTTAATTCAACTCATAAGTCTACACACCCTAGGCAAGTACTTTATGGACATTTCACTTGGGTGGATAAATTGATGGTAAAATGTTGGATAGTAAAAGACACTGTTTTAATTCCTAGTAGTGTAAAAGCAAATGTACATTTAATGAAGCCAGATTTTACCTTTTAGTAGTTATACCAAATACAACAAGAAACAGCTACTAAAAATAGTCCAGTGTTCTCTTAACATGTGCATAAAATCACCCTGCTGCTATACTGGCTAACTGGGGGCAGGGTGACCAGAGCATGGAGTGAACATACTAATTTTTCCAAATCATATATATGTATATATATTTTCCTGTTTACTGACCTGTGTCTCATTCTATTTCTAAACTATTTCTAAATTTTCCCTCATTCAGAAAAAAGAGAAAAGTGAGTATCCTTGCCAGACATACATTGCCTGGTTTAGGGGAGTTTGGGGTTTTTTTGTGTATGCTCAAGCCATACAGGTACTATCAAATTTCTCAAATCATAGAATGGAGAATTATAAAGCAATCCTAGAGATTACGTAGTCTCATTATTTTATATGAATGAGCGAGGCCTAGAAATGTGAAACAACTTAACCAAGCTTAATGAAAAAGGAAAGATTGAGTTTGTTATTTGTGCTTTGAAAAGAAAGAAGTATTTGAAGACAAAAGGAACCCACCCTCTTCTCTCCCTTAACTGGAAACAGTAAAGCTAATCAATCAGCCCCGACAGCATCTTAAACTTTAGGGATTCTTTTCCAAGAGCCACTTACTGAATAGGCAGTTACCAGCTGTGTCAGCCATCAAAGAGATGCAGTAACAATTTACTATAATGCAAGCAGGTATAACTCACAGATGACAGATAGATTATTTCATTAGAAATCCCACTTCTTGACCTCTTACACCTAGAAAAATCCATGGCCTTCCTTAGGTATTCAGTAAAAGAACAAAGCTAATTATTCAGCTTAGAAAAAGGATTAACTATAGTAGTGTATTAACATTCTTCTCATACTGCAAAATAATACTCTGAAAAAAACCTCCTAGATCCAAGACTTTATCAATGAAAACCATACAAATTGGTTCAGTTATTCTCATCTTTCATAAGCATCAAAAGCACAAATCTCTATATATAACATGTTTTCTTTGGAGAATCTTCTCATTAAGAAAGTAACATGATCAAAATTATGATGAATTCGATAAATTCATTAAAATCTACATGTACTTTATTCTCAATCTCTATAGAGTCTAGCTAATACCCAAATGTGTTTAAATCCATCACAGCAACTCTGGGATCTGGCCAATTTTTTGAGAATCACTATACTAATGAATTTATTTGCTCTTGTTAGAATAGTATGTTTTGTGAAATCTGAATGTATCACCGAAATGTGAATAAGGCTTTGTGTGTGTGTGTGTGTGTGTGTGTGTGTGTGTGTGTGTGTGTATTAATGGTATGATTTATTAGAATTCAATTTAAGAGAAGCACAGGTTTAATTTCTCTGAAAATAATTAAAATTTTGATGTTTTACTTACCCATCATGTTGTACAAGCTCTGGGGGGCAAACTGCCTTGGCATTTTCTGAATCGCTTCCTTGTATACACTAAGGGCATCCTGAAAAAAGAGAGAAAAAAAGAGATAAAGTATGGGGATACTCATTGAAAATAAGATAATAACATTGATCCAAAATTAAAACCTTACATGTCTATTTCTAAATGGTTCAATAGAAGAAAATAACTGAGCTGCCCTTCAATATCACAGTACCTCCACTTCAGGAATGAAAAGGCAATACTCACCCAGTCAGTCAAGAAGGTCCTAAGAAAATTTAGTTTAATAAGGAGTCGAATGCTACCAATGTTTTTATTTTAATATCAACTTTTTAGCTCACATATTCAATAAAAAGAACTAGAAAGAGTCACACTGGGAAGTCACCCATAAGCATCAAAAATCTGTAATTACTTTAGGTCTAAGTAGGATTTAAGTAAGATACCAACTAACAAATCTGCTAGCCAGTGAGATTATCAAACTCAGTTGTTTAAAGTTGTATCTTTATATTGCAGTCTTAACACACTGTGTATGAGTGTGTGAGGGAGCATCTGGAGAAAGATGGGGGAGGGACACTGAATGTGAGAGAGGAAACCCTCCCAGACATGCTTCATGAGAAACAAAGGGAGTGCAAGCCTGGGCAAGCCTCCCAACTTCCTGAACGAGGTCCCCTCTCCAGCACTTTCTTTCTCTCTGCAGTTAAGAAAAAATTAATTTTCATTTCACTATTGTTCTAAGAAAAATTAAAAGAAATGGGTAGAATTTAGCTCAAATTACTTCCTTAACACTCAGAATACAAAGAATGTATTTTTTAACATCAAATACTGGATATAAGAAAACAATAATAATGTGTCTTGAATTGTGAAATCAAATAGATGGTGAGCAAATATGCTTGAAAAGCAATGCATGTTATTTCCTTTTCTTGACAAGTTAAAATTGCCCCGAGAAATTTACAGTGATCTAAGTTTTATTTGGCACAATTTTTTTCCAACTGAATTCTACCACTCTTCATAAAAATGCCTATTAGCTCCCCAAATGATCGGAGTGTCCCTGAATGACACAACAGGGTAGAAAGCTGAGAACAGAAAACAGCGGAGCTGTTGGCCTGACCTCATAGTGTCCCTGCTCATGATAGAGCTTCCCCAGGTTGTACAGACAGCTGGTAACCGAGCTCTTATGCGCATGAGGATCCTTCAGATTTTCATCAGGGATCTCAGAACACTTGAGGAAGGCACGTCGCGCTTCCTCTGTCTTTCCTTGGTTCATTAGAATAATACCGGTGTTTAAATATGCAGCTGAGGGAAAAGAAGTGGAAACAAAAATGTGAGAAAATGACTCGTGCTGTGGATACGACAGAATTATCTTCACGTCCGTTTAGTTTCTGTCAATTATTTCTGATGTTAAAAGAAAACCAAGAAATGAAGACCTTGGGAACAAATATATATGGGAACAATAACATAAAGAAGTGCAGGTGTCACTGGAAAACATATGGAACAGTCTCTGCCCTCAAGAAGGTAAAAACTTCTTGAGTTTAAAATCTAGATGAATAAAGGCTGTATTTCTCTTACTACAAAGTGATAAACATAACAAAACATGATAAAATTGAGTGATGCAATTGCTAGAGGCTCATAATGTGATCGGCAAATATTCACAATTAGCATACAGTATTTTTTTTCTCTGGCAGACTGTAAGTCACAAAGATAATTTTCAAAGATAAAGCAGGAAAGAAGTATTTTTAAAAGAACTTAAATATTACTTACAAGCCAGTGTAGGCCTGCTCCCAATCGCCAGTTTGTAATAATGTAGCGCTTCTGCAAACCTGCTGTTCTCCTGTAGAAGTAACCCTCTGCATGAGGAAAATAGAAATTTGGAAACAGGACTGTATTACTATGCATCAAACCACAAATTTTTATTATATACTTCAAAAATAAAGAATGGTTAACAGGGCCATAAAAATGCTGACCTGGTACTATAAAATTAAATTCTAAATAGAAGGAAATGATTCCTCAGGAGAAAAAATACTGGAGAGGTATAAACTGCATATATGTTGCATTAGAAAGTATTAGGAAGTATTTGCAAAAAGCCCTTTCCCACTGCTGAACTTTCCCACCTCTCCAGTAGGCTTTTCTCTCCCACTAGAATTACAAGCCACCTGGATTTCTTCTCAGAGTCTGAACAGTTTTTCATCACTTCAGAAAAGAAACTTGTCTGCGACAGTAATATATGTATATTTGAACAGGATGTGTCTCCCACTAGCCACATTACTTGGGAAATACAGGTCCATAACTGCCTGAAAGGCAGAAGGTAATCTGGATCAAGAGGATAGAGAGTCAAAACTTAATCAGATGATAAGAGAATTAAAAAAAAAAAAGACTGAAGATTATCCATATTATTTCCTTATTATTTGGATTTGGTCAAATTAGCCTGAACTTCAGAACACTGGGCAAATTTCAGTTCACTGTTGGGAGACACACTTGCCTACAGATCCCCAGATACCATGGCCTCCCTAGGAGGTCCCTGGTGCAGTGGCCACAGGGATCAGCTCAGCCATTTCAGACCCTGCCTTCATGACCTGACTGAGAATCAATTATAATCATGTCCATGAAAATACAGTGTCAGGAAACTGGACTAAGATCCCAAAGCTCTCACCGAGGGCTCTTCGGCCTATCGCTACTCTCTGGTGATCAGCAAGCATCTTACAGACAGACACCTGACACGTCTATTCTGTTGGGCCTGAATTCTGCTGTTATCAACCTCAAACTGCAGAGTCTACCTGTCAGCTGCTGAGACCTTTAAAAGGCTGGTAAAATGGACGTTTGGGACATGAGGAGTCTACTAATAAAAACTTAGCATTTTGTAGAATACTTTAAAATATTCAACTTATATTTACTGAGTATCACGGAAAAAACACCTGAAGTAAATCATTTTGAAATTAAAGTACACTCACGATGTCATCAACGTAAATTACCTTCACTACTTCTAATATTGGCTTACGAAAGTCTTTTGAACAGATCAGACAATTCCAAACCACAGCATCATTTTCATATACATATACACATAAAAATGTATATTCCTATAAAATATTTTGAGCAACAACTGGATCCTGAAACTGACACACTTTGCATTCAGTGTGTTTCTCAGTGGCTGCGAACAAGAACAAAGCCTCCTGCAGCATTCAAGAGCTTGTGAAAATGTTCAGTTGTATTAAAAGTATGTAAATCTGATAAAGAAAACATTCACATAGTTCTCAAAAAAAGTAATAATATTCTTTATGACAATAATTTTATTGGTAAAATGTTTTTCTATTATTTTTACCTAAGCTGATATACATTACCTCATTTCAGAAACTTAACTACAGCCTTGATTGTCTTTATCACTTTGTTTTGAGAATTCAGCTCTTTTCCTCTGATACAAGGCTAATGGCACCCGAGGAGATACACCATCCAGATATTTAATCCTATTCTTCCTACCTTTCATAGGAGTTAAAGTCCTCCCAGGATCTCTTTTTATCCAGTATCTTCAATCACTTTCTCCATTATACTGTCCTTGCCTTTGAGACTATAAAAATGTTCATGTACCTCTTGGAAGAGAAAACCCTGCCATCCTTATGCATTCCTGCATCCATATCCGCCTACTGCTTATTACCGCTCTTCCCTACAACGTCAGATTTCCTTTAAGAATTGCCTCTGGTGTATATGTCCAATAACTCAAATCACATATAACCCAAAATCCAGTTTAGGTTCTATTCCCAGAATTCCCATGAAATGTCATAATCAAATTTCTCCTAAGTATCAAATCCCCAAACTGGTGTGCATATATGACCCACCCATTCAACTGTAGCACTTAGGACTATTTAACCCAACTTCCTTCCTGAAACTCTGTATTTTCTTCATTTCTAGGAGACCAGTCTATCCTAGTTCTCTTCTCTACTTGGAACCATCCTACAGAGAATGAAGAAAGTATCTTTTGAAGAAAATTCGTATATCCCTTTAAGAGAAATTGGTGTTTCTCAGGACTTTGTCTTTTTCTCCTTTCTTGATAAACAGTCTCTGTATGACATCATACATCCATGTAGCTCATGTACAATGCTGACTGTTCTCAATTCTGTAGTGGTCTCTCCCTTGACATCTAGATCTATTTTCAACAGCTTATTGAGCCAAATCAATCTAGGTGTCCACTGGAATGTCAAAATCAATGCATACAAAAATTGAAAACAGTGGCCCCCACTCAAAAATAGAGAGAAAAAGAAAAAATATCTCCTTCACAATCACATCATTGTTCACTGCAGTTGCTAAAATCAGAAACCTGGTTTATCATTTTTGACTTTTCACTTATTCTCATGATTCTGTGTTCTATAAAGTTTCCGAAGCCCACAATCCTTATTTTCTGAGACTTAAAAATTGCCCCGAGAAATTTACAGTGATCTAAGTTTTATTTGGCACAATTTTTTTCCAACTGAATTCTACCACTCTTCATAAAAATGCCTATTAGCTCCCCAAATGATCGGAGTGTCCCTGAATGACACAACAGGGTAAAAAGCTGAGAACAGAAAACAGCGGAGCTGTTGGCCTGACCTCATAGTGTCCCTGCTCATGATAGAGCTTCCCCAGGTTGTACAGACAGCTGGTAACCGAGCTCTTATGCGCATGAGGATCCTTCAGATTTTCATCAGGGATCTCAGAACACTTGAGGAAGGCACGTCGCGCTTCCTCTGTCTTTCCTTGGTTCATTAGAATAATACCGGTGTTTAAATATGCAGCTGAGGGAAAAGAAGTGGAAACAAAAATGTGAGAAAATGACTCGTGCTGTGGATACGACAGAATTATCTTCACGTCCGTTTAGTTTCTGTCAATTATTTCTGATGTTAAAAGAAAACCAAGAAATGAAGACCTTGGGAACAAATATATATGGGAACAATAACATAAAGAAGTGCAGGTGTCACTGGAAAACATATGGAACAGTCTCTGCCCTCAAGAAGGTAAAAACTTCTTGAGTTTAAAATCTAGATGAATAAAGGCTGTATTTCTCTTACTACAAAGTGATAAACATAACAAAACATGATAAAATTGAGTGATGCAATTGCTAGAGGCTCATAATGTGATCGGCAAATATTCACAATTAGCATACAGTATTTTTTTTCTCTGGCAGACTGTAAGTCACAAAGATAATTTTCAAAGATAAAGCAGGAAAGAAGTATTTTTAAAAGAACTTAAATATTACTTACAAGCCAGTGTAGGCCTGCTCCCAATAGCCAGTTTGTAATAATGTAGCGCTTCTGCAAACCTGCTGTTCTCCTGTAGAAGTAACCCTCTGCATGAGGAAAATAGAAATTTGGAAACAGGACTGTATTACTATGCATCAAACCACAAATTTTTATTATATACTTCAAAAATAAAGAATGGTTAACAGGGCCATAAAAATGCTGACCTGGTACTATAAAATTAAATTCTAAATAGAAGGAAATGATTCCTCAGGAGAAAAAATACTGGAGAGGTATAAACTGCATATATGTTGCATTAGAAAGTATTAGGAAGTATTTGCAAAAAGCCCTTTCCCACTGCTGAACTTTCCCACCTCTCCAGTAGGCTTTTCTCTCCCACTAGAATTACAAGCCACCTGGATTTCTTCTCAGAGTCTGAACAGTTTTTCATCACTTCAGAAAAGAAACTTGTCTGCGACAGTAATATATGTATATTTGAACAGGATGTGTCTCCCACTAGCCACATTACTTGGGAAATACAGGTCCATAACTGCCTGAAAGGCAGAAGGTAATCTGGATCAAGAGGATAGAGAGTCAAAACTTAATCAGATGATAAGAGAATTAAAAAAAAAAAGACTGAAGATTATCCATATTATTTCCTTATTATTTGGATTTGGTCAAATTAGCCTGAACTTCAGAACACTGGGCAAATTTCAGTTCACTGTTGGAAGACACACTTGCCTACAGATCCCCAGATACCATGGCCACCCTAGGAGGTCCCTGGTGCAGTGGCCACAGGGATCAGCTCAGCCATTTCAGACCCTGCCTTCATGACCTGACTGAGAATCAATTATAATCATGTCCATGAAAATACAGTGTCAGGAAACTGGACTAAGATCCCAAAGCTCTCACCGAGGGCTCTTCGGCCTATCGCTACTCTCTGGTGATCAGCAAGCATCTTACAGACAGACACTTGGCACGTCTATTCTGTTGGGCCTGAATTCTGCTGTTATCAACCTCAAACTGCAGAGTCTACCTGCCAGCTGCTGAGACCTTTAAAAGGCTGGTAAAATGGACGTTTGGGACATGAGGAGTCTACTAATAAAAACTTACCATTTTGTAGAGTACTTCAAAATATTCAACTTATATTTACTGAGTATCACGGAAAAAACACCTGAAGTAAATCATTTTGAAATTAAAGGACACTCACGATGTCATCAACGTAAATTACCTTCACTACTTCTAATATTGGCTTACGAAAGTCTTTTGAACAGATCAGACAATTCCAAACCACAGCATCATTTTCATATACATATACACATAAAAATGTATATTCCTATAAAATATTTTGAGCAACAACTGGATCCTGAAACTGACACACTTTGCATTCAGTGTGTTTCTCAGTGGCTGCGAACAAGAACAAAGCCTCCTGCAGCATTCAAGAGCTTGTGAAAATGTTCAGTTGTATTAAAAGTATGTAAATCTGATAAAGAAAACATTCACATAGTTCTCAAAAAAAGTAATAATATTCTTTATGACAATAATTTTATTGGTAAAATGTTTTTCTATTATTTTTACCTAAGCTGATATACATTACCTCATTTCAGAAACTTAACTACAGCCTTGATTGTCTTTATCACTTTGTTTTGAGAATTCAGCTCTTTTCCTCTGATACAAGGCTAATGGCACCCGAGGAGATACACCATCCAGATATTTAATCCTATTCTTCCTACCTTTCATAGGAGTTAAAGTCCTCCCAGGATCTCTTTTTATCCAGTATCTTCAATCACTTTCTCCATTATACTGTCCTTGCCTTTAAGACTATAAAAATGTTCATGTGCCTCTTGGAAGAGAAAACCCTGCCATCCTTATGCATTCCTGCATCCATATCCGCCTACTGCTTATTACCGCTCTTCCCTACAACGTCAGATTTCCTTTAAGAATTGCCTCTGGTGTATATGCCCAATAACTCGAATCACATATAACCCAAAATCCAGTTTAGGTTCTATTCCCAGAATTCCCATGAAATGTCATAATCAAATTTCTCCTAAGTATCAAATCCCCAAACTGGTGTGCATATATGACCCACCCATTCAACTGTAGCACTTAGGACTATTTAACCCAACTTCCTTCCTGAAACTCTGTATTTTCTTCATTTCTAGGAGACCAGTCTATCCTAGTTCTCTTCTCTACTTGGAACCATCCTACAGAGAATGAAGAAAGTATCTTTTGAAGAAAATTCGTATATCCCTTTAAGAGAAATTGGTGTTTCTCAGGACTTTGTCTTTTTCTCCTTTCTTGATAAACAGTCTCTGTATGACATCATACATCCATGTAGCTCATGTACAATGCTGACTGTTCTCAATTCTGTAGTGGTCTCTCCCTTGACATCTAGATCTATTTTCAACAGCTTATTGAGCCAAATCAATCTAGGTGTCCACTGGAATGTCAAAATCAATGCATACAAAAATTGAAAACAGTGGCCCCCACTCAAAAATAGAGAGAAAAAGAAAAAATATCTCCTTCACAACCACATCATTGTTCACTGCAGTTGCTAAAATCAGAAACCTGGTTTATCATTTTTGACTTTTCACTTATTCTCATGATTCTGTGTTCTATAAAGTTTCCGAAGCCCACAATCCTTATTTTCTGAGACTTTTTACTCTTGTTTCTCCAGGTTTACCTTTATGATCTGTCAGAGCCCTTTTTATCTTTTCTGACACCTAAATTGCAATGGCCCACTAATTAGCCTCTGCATAATTATATTTGTAAAGGGCAAATATGCTAGGAGGCCAAACAAAATGAACATGAGTGGATGAGCACGTATCTTGGACAACATGCCTAAAGCCCATAAGCCTTGAAAACTAATGTATTCAGCCTCATGGGCTCCCCAGTGCTGATGTATTATACTCCTGTCATTTTCCAATTCATAAAATATACAAAGAAAAGAAAATGATAAATAGCATGATAATTATACCTAGACGATCCTATCCAGCCTGCTTAAGTCTTTGGGGAAATCTAGTCACATGGAATAATGCAGCAGGCAAGTCTCCAGGATTACGCACAATGTCGCTGCTTGAATTAAAGATTATCATCCTCTACAGCATCTGCATAGTCAGTACTGGAGTGAGTCCAAGTTAGATGGCTCTTGTGACTGACTTTTCATGGCTAAGGGTTTAACTGAGCATCAGCTATGCCCTGGCACACCTGCTGAGAATGAATATGACAGATGCACTTGCCTGTGGATGCACAATCTACTGGGGGAAACAAGTGAGAAAAGAAATGGTGTGGAAAATTACTCTGCTGAAGGACAGGACCAACACTGCCCCCACTCAAGAATGGACTTGGGAAGGTCCAGAGAGTCGAAGGCTTGAAGGTGCGCAGCAGTTGGCCAGCTGTAAAAAGTGTCTGCATCGGCCCCACTTAACAGGAATAAAGAGAGGTTTGCAGAGACTTTACCCACTAACTCTAGGTTTTGTGGTTAATAAGAGACAAATCCAGGGTTGGAACACAGTTCCTTTCATACTAAATCCCATATTTTTTCTAAAAGAAAAAGAGAAGAGGAAAGAGGTACAATAATTCAATTCTAAGTACAGGCATACTAGGTTATGTTTCCTTTTGCTCTAAAACTCTCCTGATTTTGTACAGAACAAACCGTGCTGATGCTCTATTAAGGAATCCAATACCATTTGGACAGCTCAGGATTAATTTGGGTTAATTCTAGCACTGGAACAATGAGCTTCCGTTACTGTTGTTTTCCACATTTACAGACCCATTCTGTAGTTTACTGAAGATCTGAGAAAAAGATAGAAACCCTTCAACACTGTAATGGTTATGGTAATAATGATAGTAATAATAATAATAATAGCTCATTTGGTATTTACAGTTCAACAAGCACTTTACATGTATTAACTTAGTGATTACTCAACAGTAATTTTAGGAGGCAGGTTATTACTGGCCCTGTTTTACCGACGATAAACCTCAGATAGAAAAAGTTCAGCAACATGCCAAAGGTCACACAGCTAGTAAGGAGAATGCTACAAATTCAAGCCCAGCAGTCTGATTCAAGGAGAACCTGTATTTTAATATACTATTCATACAAAAGGCTCTTCCATGACTGTTAAAAATTGATGACATAATTTGTTTACATGTTGATGTCAATTACATCTTCAGATATATATTAGAATATTTATTACTCATTAATTTTACTTCAGATATATATTAGAATATTTATTACTCATAGTACATTAATAAATCTATATTAAAAACAAGAACATACTTTAATATGAAAGTGTTTATATTATTATAAAGCATAATATAAAGCCAGAATCTAATGAGAAATAGCTTTGTTCATATTATGTGAAGTTGCATTACAGTTAGGGAAAGTGGCCCATGAAATACATTAATGTGAAATTAAAATATCTATCAGAAGAGAACCTGAAAAAAATATTACTGATAACTAAATAATAAGTGATAGGGTCACATTTATATATCTGTGTACATAGATATATTATAGCATTTCTAAATAGAAAAAAATATTTCACTTCTTAAATTTCTCCTGCAGTGATTTATCTTTCAGAAGTACAGTCAATGAAATTAAGAAGATAATAAAGAATATAAATTGGGGAAACACAAAATTACTTGTTTTAGTCCAAAGAAGAAAACATATATGAATATGTAAAGTACTATATGCACTTCAACACTTAAGTTCTAGAAGACCACTTTACTTCAAAAATAAAAAAAAAAGACAAAATGTCCTCCCTGAATTCCTTTCAGCTTTTTTCTGATAATGGATCATATATTCTAGAATTACTAGTAAGTGTGTAGAATTTCTTTGCCTTGTAAAAGTTTCGACCATCTTTACCTCAGTTGCTCCTAACAACCCTGTCTTTGTATTTAAAATACATTTTGTTTTTAAACCTCAATAATCTAGACACTTGAAAAATGAAAACCAGTGAAATGCACGATAACAATGGATTGGACAAACATTAAATGTAAATAGGCATACTAATCCCCGGCTGATTCTGAATGTTGACAGAGACAGAAAGGGAGCCTTTATCTAGCACAGTGTTTCTTAATCAGGGGTGAAACCACCCTCAGGCAGGGGACA